TTTTATATTTTACTTTAGTTAGATCCAAGGTTGAATACGCTTCAGTAGTTTGCAATTCCATTACGTCAACTGATGCAAACAAACTAGAACGCATTCAGCAGAAATTTACGGCTCTCTGTTTTAGACGTTTTTTTCCTCAAGTAGGTTACTGTTACGATTTTGCTTTAGAACAATTGAAATTGCACACCTTGCATAAGAGGAGATATCATCTTGATGCGCTCTTCCTTATTCAAGTTTATCGTGGTTCTGTACTTTGCCCTTCTGCTTTGGAAATTGTCGGCCTTCGGGTCCCTGTTCTATATATCCGAGATTTTCATATGTTCAATGTCTGTTCTGTTAGTAAAAATTGCCCCTCTGCTAGATGCGCTTCTGCTGCTAATGTTGTCCGTAGAAACGTTGACGTCTTTGGACCAAAAACTCTGTTGATGAAACATATCTTATACTGAACTAATTTAACTCTTACTATTATCACTCTTTTTATTAATTTCGTTATTATTATTAATTAAATATTTATGTTTCTATTGCACTTCTAAAAACACTTAGTTTTATGATTATTATTATTGTTATTATTATCATTTATTTGCTTGTTTGTTTACTTTTCTTCATAAATTGCCCGTAACTTATTTTTGACTTATAATGTGTTTGTCTAATGTTTGTATAACTTACACGTAATTACTTTCATCTACACTGTGCTAAGTCTGTAATTGGCCTTGCGGCTGTTGACTTGGCACATAAATAATAAAGAATTGAATTGAATTATTATTATTATGGAAATGGAATTCTGTCAAAATGCCACATTTTTACATTTATGTGCATTTTAGCATTATATTAATCACTAATTGAAGTTTTTATTTTCAAGACTTCAACTCTGTCCAGCCGACCGTCACATCACACCAATGGTACGCGTCCTATCGGTTGAGAAACACCAATTCAGCAAATATGTTTACTCCACTGATACAGACATTTACACTCGTGTGTACCGTACTGCTGTGATGGGTCTCTCACCAGACTCTTTTTAGTCTAGTTTCCTTATTTTTATAAAATAAAAGTAGGCTTATGAGATCACCTTCCTATCTGTGTGTCCGTGTGTCTCTGTCTCCCCCTAAACTTTTGAATGCCTGAACTGATCTTTACGAAACATGGTATGTATATATCATGGAATCTGAGCCTCTCAACGGAGTACTCCATAAATCCCTCCCATCAATCTGTGCGCCTGTATGTGTATCCTCCATATCGCTGCTAGGCACAGGCTCGGTAATGTGCACCCCTTCTTTCGTTGTTAGGCAACGGATCGCTAAACATGTATCCGCGGAAGAAATACATGCAACAACAGAAGAACTGTTGGCTGAGTCATTTTCTATGCAGTCCGCGTCTTATCAAAGGTCAGTCTGTGAGTCTGTGTATCCCCCTATTGTTGCTAATAACAACTAGGTAAAGACGTTCCGGTGACAGCGAAGAACTGAAAACGTCGTCTTCTATGCGGTCCGTATCGTATCAAAGGAAAGTAGGTCATCAGTTCTTACCAGAACTTCTTGTTAATGTTATTATTCTTGGTTCCAAAGCGTACTAGCATTATTAAATGTCTGTAGGTTTAACTGCTGATGACTGTTAGCCGTGTAATTATCAAGGAATTGTTGCCTACCGTACTCCGATCCTCGAAACCAAGGGTTAGAAATACCGGTGTACATGACAACATGTACGTACAGGAGGGGGGAAGGACATTCTTAGCAAGCGTCTAAGAATTACCAGTTTTGACTGATTTGAAATCGTACTGCTAAAAAAAACTCCGTGGTTTTAGTCCGCAAGCGAACTATACCGACCGAGCGACCGCCGCTTTTCGGCGAAGTTCGTGCCAACTTTAGCGGATAAAGAGGGTCGCGTGGTCAGCGCAACGAATCTCCACGGCCATTAATCTCGGTTTTCTAGACCGAAGCCGCTATTTCCTTGAAATAGCTCCTCAATTATCCTCATGAACCCGAGTGGACCCCGTTCAAGACCCACTACTTATCAGAAAATCTGGTAGCCCCGGGACACGAACCCGGACCTCTGGATCTCTGACCACTAGACGTCACGGGCGGTCGAAATATGCTGAATATAACATGAAGTAGCCAGATTTTCTTACTTCGCCGAATGAATGTATGTGTTACAAACTATACTGTAATGTTTTCAAAGAAGAGAGCTGATAACTGGTAATGAAAGTTGAAGGTAGTGTGACGTGTCTTTGCAAGCAGTGATTTGTGTTCGTAAGGCATACAAAGGTAGCGGAGAGATCTGTTACTCCAGAGAGTATACACAGAGTGACCGGAGCAACTGGAACACTCACAGTGTCTGCGTGCATAACTGCCTGTCTTATGAATTAAATGGTGGTTATGACAACCTGGACTCAGCTATTAAAAATACCAGACAAGCTCTCTTTCGGACAATTCCTTCCTGCCGAGAAGACAGATTATCGTCCAAATGTACGCGTCACTACTGAGAGAATCCGTGGGTTCCGTTGACCTCGCGATCACATCTAAAAATTAGTGTGAAGTTCACCGACCGGTTACATCAACTAACACGAAGCAAAAGAAGAAAGCAACTGACTAACCTATTGGCCCGGACTGGACTGGTAGATTACGCTGATCGGATGGAATGCAATCCGCGGTTAACTCTATGCTAGTGCTTAGTTCGGGGTGCATTTTGAAACGTATTTAAAAGCGCCTATGAGTCATTCTTTCATCCAAACATGTATCACCCGCATTTTCGATGCAGGAATTGAGACAAAACGACAAATATTAGTAAAATTCGTCCCAAAATAAGCTGCCTAGCCATATCGGCTAATCCGAACTCCCATATTACTCGTATTTCGCAGCTTAAACGATTTTTGGCGAGTTCGCAACGGAAAGATGCAAGACTGCGTAGATTACCTTCGCCATGCCGATCAGCGTGTCAGCAATAACCACGAAGCGCTGAGCTAGATGTCATAAAATTTTATACTGAGCAGTTTTAGTAATATCTGTAAACACATTCCAATTTTTAGGATTTTAGGTTTTCACGGCGGTGACTATGAAGAAATCAGTCTTCTCTGTAGATATTGTGTTAACCGACGTTCCTCCGAAACGCCGGTTAACACAATATCTACACGGCGCCACATCCCAGAAGACTGCTTTTTCATATTCCAATTTCTTTTAAAAACATTCACATTTAGTGGGTAATTTATACGAAGCCCTTCACGCGTTTATGCACTCGTCTCGTGCATTAGTCACGAAATAGTTACATAAATGAAAAATGTTTCGAAAATTTGTTGTTGAGAGAAATGAAACATTCACACTTTTTCGCAGTCTTACAGTTTTCGTGGTACCTAAACAGAAGGGATAATTCTTCTCGAGAACTGCTGAGCTGATGATAAAATGTTATACTGAAGTAATATTTGAAAGCATAAAATACTGTAATATAGTGACGTTCCCTTTTCTTTTAATAACAATATATATTTAATTACAGTGGAACCTCGCTTAACGAGCACCTCTCATAACGAGCAAAACAAATTGTAAAAGGATGACTCGCTTAACGAGCGACGTTTCGCATAACGAGTGACGAGAGGGGAAGTCCCGGATTGTGCGCTTGCTACATCAGTCTGTGTTTAGCACTCGTTCCGCTAGCATCTTAGTGTCGCTTGTGATCACACATTTTTCCAAACTCGTGTTCAGACATATTATTTGTGATTTTTTGTGCAAAATTTAATAACCCTTGCAAAAATGTCCCCGAAGAAAAACCCGCAAAAAGACAGCCATAAGAGAATAAAAATTACCGTAGAAATGAAACTAAAATCATTGAAAAGCGAGAACGAGGTGTGAGTGTGGCTGATCTAGCACGCACATACAGTCGGTCTACATCAACGATTTGCACGATTTCGGGTTGCATTGTGTTTCACAGCAAGAAGCTGTGGAGGAGAGTTTGTCAGAGGAGGAAGAGGAGGAGGAGGTAACAGCAAAGCAACAATCTTCTGGCGCAATATGAGAAATGCTGAAAGCATGAGAATCTGTTACATCGTACATTGAGAAGCATCACCCTAATAAGGCAGTGGCTATGCGCGCTACAGATTTATTTAATGATAATGCTGTGTCGCATTTTCATCAAATTTTGAAGCGTCGGCAAAAACAAATGTCTCCAGACAGCTTTCTAGTAAAAAATAATTAGATATGTATCATAAATAACAAACTAATTATTTCGATTTTTTTTTCTGCAAATCGAATTCGCGTTCCAGGTTGGTTCATTCCGCATAGAAGAAAAGATGAAGATGATTCACGCTCCTTAACAATGTATATATAATTTTCTTTGAATAAACGTTATACACAAAATTTTTTGAGTATTTTTTTCGGCATGGAACGCATTATCGTATTTTACATTAATTTATATGGGAAAAATTGTTTCGCTTAACGAGTGTTTCGCATTACGAGTAAGATCAAAGCATAAAAGAAATAATCCTTGAAACAATATATTTAATTACTACTATATTTTTGGGCTAATTTTTATAACATTTTACAACAGGATGGGAGAGTGTGGACTGATTTCATCTGGCACAGGATAGGGCCCAAATGTGAGATCATGTGGACACGGTAACGTTGGGGGTCTTAGTCTTTGCGATACAGTGACTATCTAAAACAATACACGATTTTACGCGACCCCAGTGATATATGGCAACAGTAGGGACTTAATACTTGGCAGCAGTAGGGACTGAATACTTTTTTATTAACATCTCAGTTTTACTTTAGGGCATTTGTTTTCGCCCAGTAAATAATAACTAGACATCACTGGCATATACCCTAAGCTGCTCTGTTGCAATTCATTTATAGACATCTATAATATTTACACGAAATAATCTCAATAGTTTTTCTAAGTATGGAAAGACTGATTAGGTATTTACAAACGAACAAACGCAAAGCAAAGACATATCGACTGGGTAAATGATTCAGCTTGATATAAATCCATCTCTCTTCGTCTGATGAATTTATAGCACTTACCTGGGTTGCGGTGAGGGCACAGAACAGTGATATCATTACACAAATTACACTGTAAATTGCCTTTCCTGCCATTCTTGCAAACTTCGAACACACTGTTCGGAGCAGTTCTGGGGATTCGGAGTAGCTAACGCTTGCTCTTCCTTCCTAGCAGTGCTGCTATTGAAGTAAATGAACGGCCGCCCTCCCTGAATATTTCTGCCAGCTGGAGCGCTGGAGGGACGGTAATCTCATCAACACAGCTGCAGCGGTGGGGCCGAGGAGAGGACGTCATCGCAACTTGTCTACGCTACGCTGGGGTGTTCGTAAACTGCTTACCTCATTAATCCTCTCTGTAGAGGCCTATATACTGTGTTGGACACTTCTTCGGCTTCTTTCTTATCGACCCAGTGGGCACTGGTAATGTCTGAGGTGGAACCGCACACAAAACACTTTCCTTTTTTTCGTGCTATTGTTTAAGGCCAATGCCGTGCACAATCGCCAATTCTGGAACCTCATTAAAACAAAGCTGTCTTCAAAAAAAAAAAAGAATCATGTCATGTGTTAGNGGCGGGAAACGTCCGTTAATTTGGCTCAGTGACCTCCTTTGGAGGTATGAGGTTCTTTTACGTGCCGCAAAGCTATGACACGGGACCCACGGCTTAAAGTCCCTCCCGGAGGACTTATTCCCTGAATTTTTCCGCCCTTAAAAATTCGACGACCTCCGCCGGGTATTTGAACCCGCGTACTAGAGTCATGAGGTGGGAACGTTACCTCTAGACTACGGAGGCCGCTATGCCATGTGTTATTCCCAGATGAGATACAAGATCAAGAATTCTTCCTTGGGTTTTAAAGAAACGATCATGACAGTCGGAAGTGGTTTTAAATTCATTTAACAAATAAGTGACTATAAAGAACCTATTTCGCAAATAAAATCAGGTGGCAGGCTGAATGGCTGTGGTTCGGCTTCTCTCACAGACGGGGTTTTCTATTTATTACATGGCCAGACCAGCTCTTGGGCTCACCCGGCTTCCGGTTCAGACCTTTCCCAAGCATAAAATGGGCGGGATGTGAAGATGACCAGTCACCTCCATATTATGCTAAAATTCGGAATTCATGGAGTTATATGCCCGTTCGCCTACATGTCCCCAATGTGTGGTGCTTGGATAAACACAGAACCTCAGCCGTCCTTTCTCAATTGGTCCTTGAAAGTTGCTAGCATCTTCACTTTACAAAATTTAATATCGATCCAGCGACAAATGATGACACCTGTATACTCCTACTTCCACATCTTACTTCACCAACATTATTGGCACGAACATATGAAGTAGATTCTCTGTGTAGGATTTGAGGCCGAAGTATACAAGGTCTGCTAACGCTCACCCAGTTACGTCACGAGCACATCATCATGACCTCAACTTCGAAGTAGCTGAGACGGTAGTTACACGCGGATGACACAAGTGTACTAATATTTGGCAATAACATGCATGAAACTCAAGCAAAACTTAGCCCTGTTTTGAATACCTTAAAGTACTGGTTTACCATTAACGGCATGTCCCTAAATTTAAAGAAAACTAAACTCTTAAAATCTGAAACAACAATGTTTCAGTACTTCATATTCCTTATTGAAAACAACCCGTTGCCTAGTTTGTTTAACAATAATTTAACATCTGTTTTCCAATTAATAAATGTACCCATTTCTAGCCCCAGGAATCTAATATTTCTTTCATTTTGGAACAATTCATCTTTGTAGCTTAACTGAAATGGTGTGTTCTTTGATAAAGGTAATATCGTCTCTGTGCTTAATTAATTAAGCACTACGCCATGAAGGCGTATGGGGGAGTGGATGTATAGACCTTGGCAGTAGCTGGAGGTCAGTGAGTCCGCTTCAAGTACCTGCCGCTCTGCCGCCGGTACCTACTGGACAAGAGGTTGGGTGGGTCCCAGAACCGGTTTGGACGCTGCGGAGAAGAGAACATTCTTGGCGCTACAGGGACTCGAACTCTGACCCATCGGTCGTCCAGCCTGTAGCCAGTCGCTATACCGACTACGCTATCCCGGCTCCTTTTATTATATTATTTACTAATCATTAACCATTCCCACTACTATACTCCCCATGTTTGTGTGTATAACTATTGTATTCACGTGTATATCATTCGATATGAATATATTTTTAATTTTCATTGGTTGCATCCTGTTGTGTTTATTGTATAAAATTCTTTATCGGGATCAGTAATAACACACCAACGAATTTATTTGTATTTTTATACCTTGTATTATTATAGTGTAACAGTTGTCAACTATTCAGCTTCACTGTACCATCACATTGAAATGCAGTTCAGTAGTATGTGAATGTACCATGTATTTGCCTGATGATTGCTTTAAAAGCCCAAGCATGTAGCTAAGGTCATATTGACCTAGACCGGGCATGTCCAACTTCAAACAGACTGTGATCGACTTTTTAGTGTCAGAACTGCCAGTGATCTGCCACCCCCTCCTATTATCGTACCTCGCTTTAAGCAAAAATAAGACGACACATGATGTTTGTTATAAAAGCAACATACATTGAAAGTACTGACTACTTTAATACGTATTGTCCCTTCAAAATCTGAATATAATCATTTTATATTACAAATGAATTTACATGCTTTTCACGTATAATTTCCTTATACGTCTATGAGACAGACCAAAAATCGTCCCGCGATCGACGCGTTGGACATGCCTGACCTAGACCGTTTCATTGTTGTGTTACAACGGATTCCAATAAAGAATTGTATATATTTTTAACTACTATTTTACTTTGTTTTGGTGCTTTTGTTGTAACCGTCTTATGGTAATTTGTGTGTTCTTGACAAATTTTATGTTCAGTGCTGATAAGCACTGAACATTACAACACCCGCAGCCAAAAAGGGAACGCGCATCACGAGACACGATACACACGGTATATAAGAGGAACGACTTCCATAGTGGAGGAACCATGCGCGGGTTTTGAATTGGGACAGATAAGATGAATATCTTAACAAGATTTTAGTATACAAAAATTTTATTATAACTAACGAATATTTTAAAATACTTTTTAAATAATTTTACATTGACATAATGGCATACAATGCAATAGATTAGTGTAAATGGAGCACCTGATGATGGCACTATGGTGCCGAAACATGTTGTGAAGTGACAGGTAAAAGTGGATGCACTGCAAGACGGACACTGTATATATATCATGGACGAAAATCAGTGCAACAGGACGCTAAAATACAACAACATGCTGATAAGCACATTTATGAATCCTATGAAACGCAATTCTATGTATGTATGCATACGTTGTGCCGAATTCACCGGAAGTCAGAAACATCTAGTAACAGATATAAGTTTGGGGCTTCTACCCGCGGGGCCTCGAGTTCCATTCCGATTGATTTCTTGCGAGATTCGTGGTAGGTTGTGTGGCTGTGCAGCATGGGTGTTTCAGAGTCTTTTTTTTTTCGGTTTCCTTTGGTATCCACTACTTGACCACTAATACCTGACATGTAACATAACCGCGCCTTGCAACACTGCATCTGCATCTAGGTCTGGCACATACGTATAACACTCCCATAACCACTCGCAAGCATTTGCCTGGTTACAGAGCACATATTTCCGAACACACGTTACCACAGTTTACTACGTTACATAGTAGTGTCTCTGCTTGGTGAGTGATTCGTGTTGGGTACTTACTTGAACTTGCTTGGCTTACTCTTCGACTTCGAAGCAGGAGGCGATGTGTTCCTCCGAAATCACAAATTGTAGGTTGATCTTAATTAGGCGTTATAACCCATACAACCCGTAATGCCCGTAATACAGGACTTGGCTACTTGAACTTCCTGCAACAAAAAAGTAATCGGAACTACAATCGATTATTGGTTCGTGTATCGATTAAGTCAACGACTATGATAAGAAATAAATCGAAATATATTCAGAATGCGTAATGTAGTAATCCGTGTAATTCTTGCATGCTAGGTGATCCGTGGGAAGGGTTTAACAATAGTTAACGATGGTGGATTGCGATGATGTGTTTTTTTTTTCTTTAAATTACGTTGTTCTTGGGCCTGGTAACCAAATGTAGAAAGTGATAACCGAACGACGTGCCCTAAGTTTATATAAGGCCCATAATTTTGCTTACTACATAAGTAAAAATAAGCCTGTTCACAAGTTCCTAGTTATATATAAATTCTAACTCCACAGTCCCAAGATTGTTAATATCTACCACCAAGCGCAACTTCATATTTTTACCCAAACAGCTGCAGAATAACAAGCGCAGAAGAGCTTGTGTTTTTTAACATTTTTGTTGTTGAAACACCCCCAGTTTTGACTGGTCAGGTGATCAGTCCTGACATCCAACTTCATTGTTCTTGAACTGAAGGAAAGATTGAGTGTCTAAGGCAGAAGGCATCTAACTAAATTTTCCTTATATGGGTAACGGTCTATAAGGAGGTCAGCCATGGGACAAGCACAGAGTACCTCAGAAACATCTTTCTCAGAATGTGAACATCCAGGGCCTATTCAATCAGATAATCCCATGTACAATGGGAATTCCAACCATTTGGTGCCATACCACAATGGCTTGACACTACAGCAACATATATTTGTCAATGCATACATTAGATTGCCACCGTCTTTAGACGATAATGTGACGTTAGATTATATACGTATGTCCAAAGTTATGTTTGTGATGCGGGGTCTCCCTAGAAGTGGAAGGCGTGTAGTTGTACAACATATCCAGTCACTATTTAGTGATGCTGTTGTTTGCTCAACTTCAGAATATTTTGTGAAGTGTGAAAGGTGAGTATTTGAACAGCAGTTGTGAGATGGAACATACAACCTGGATTTGAATACGTATACATTGTGTTTTGTATATAAAACAACATGTCATGCACACCTGGGTTACAGCAGTGGTTTTTAAACCCCATTCAAGAAAAAGTGTAACAATATTGTGCAGGCAAAAGATGACCATTTAGAGCTAGTGTTTAAGATTTGTGAATCTTCGTAATTATGATTAGCTGTTAATTGAGACCTACAATAATGACATGAGCCATTCTTCTTTTAGAAATCTAATACATTTTAATTTTAGTGTAAACAGGTAACTATACAGAAATGCTGGTTCTATATGCATCTTTTCAGTCCTGCTAGAGTTTGTATGCACTCTGCTATATGACTACAAGTGCATGGTGCGTGGCACATGATACGATGCACTAGAAGCCTGTAGGAATACAGAAAATGGCCTCTTTGGTGATGAGTGTACATAAGTGATATGCAGTTTCTTCCCACATACTCATAATCTATGAGCACACGAATATACACATGCATGCGTTTGTGTGTCTGTACTATTTACTATTCCTCAACAATGAGAAGGCAATGACCACGAGCAGGTACTGTGCATGCTGAAAATGTCTGCATGATTTTCAGGCAGCTCTAGCAGTTGCTGTTGGCACAGTGAAGCTCAGTGTGTTCCCAGCTGAACACTAGAATGAACAAGCTTGATGAATTTTGCTCATCACTTGACTAGCCTTCCTTTTGTTGGAGGATAGTAGGTTCTTTCTTGAATATTAATTAAATATGTAAATTATTTTCATTGACTGGAAAGCACAACATTTTTATACTTCAGCAGTAATGACAGATCATAAGATTAGAAAAATTTATGTTTTGCTCTGTTCTGTTGTATTTTATAGATATGAGTTTGACCCAAATAAATTAGACGAAGCAAAAATATTTTGCCAAGAAAAGGCACAGAGTGCATGTGAGGCAAGTACACATGTGGTTGTTATTGACAACACAAATATGAAGAAGTCAGAAATGAAATATTATTTTCGATTAGCTGCTGATACCCGCTATGTTGTTGTTTTGGTGGAGCCATGGAAATTTAATGTGGAACAACTGGTACAAAGATGCCATCATGCTGAAGATATAGAACAGCTATGCACTCAATTTCAGCATTGGGAACCGATCATCCCTTTGTATTTTGGATGGTTCCTTAATGAAGCTGATTCTCATATGTTGAAACTAGTTGGTATGGCTTATTTGGAAGAGTGTCTCAGAGTTCCAGAGTTCGCAAAGGACTTCCACAGCTTCGCTCATGCTTCAGATATCAGAGGTTTGTAGATATAGCAGATCATAACTCATTCATTCATTTCCATCTCTTAATCCAGCCTAAAACTGTTCACCATCTTGTATTTAAAATGACATTGAAACTGTTGCACTGCAATGGAAAGTGCCTGAAGATAGCTTAGCAGGGCTAAAACACATAGCAATTGATGTGAACAGTTTTAGGTTGCATTTGAGACAGGAATGAATGAGTGAGTGATACATCAATGCAGGATGCTCATATATAATATAATGTTGATAAGTTTAAATCTTTAAAGCATATGTGTTAACATATTTATAAAACTAACTATAATAACAGAAAATTCTTACAAGACAACCAGAAGACAAAGAAAATACTTTAGAAATAATATCATTTTTCACACGTGACACATGGCTGCCAGACTGAATCAAAAGGTGAAAGTCACCATAAGTTTGGAAGTGCTTTGTTATGGACCTGATGTTTAATTTTTCTGAGGTACCAAAGAAGGGAAGGATGAACTGGGAAGAATCAGAAATGTCTATTTTCCTTCATATGCTGCATATGTTGAGGCTAGCAGGGACTAAATTAATAGGTGAAAAATTATGTCAAAACTGATAGTGATGTTCTACACTACATGTACCAAGAGATTGTGGGGTTTAATTTTCAGAGTTTAAAGCTTTTCCTGGTGAGGAAAGCAATACCAAAATTATGTAACCAGGTCTATATCATTGGGCCTTAAGCAGTCCATAGTTATTCAACTAGTCAAGAAATCCCATTGTTTTATGGAACCTCAGGGTTTATTGCCTGTCACTGAACCTATTAAACCATTTTAATCCACTTCATATCTTCACAACTTATATATTTCTCCTATGTCAGTTCTTGTATTACCTTCCCATCAGTACCTTAATGCCCCAAATATCCTATTTACATTGTGTTCCCATGAATGCTACATACCCTGTCCATCCTGTTATGTACAATGTGTATATATACGAAGGCACATGCATGCACATGTGCGTGTGCAGTTTGACCACCTGATGCTCTTAGAGCAGGACACATGACTCTTATTTATAGGCTCCCAGATTTGATCCTGGGTCAGATCATGATGAAGATTTTTCTGTCTACAGATAAAATTGAAGTATTGAAGAAAGCCAGGCTTTGCAATTTTGAGTCTATATTAACTGTTACTTCCCCAGCTTCCTTCCCCTCACCAGATGAACAGAGGCCAGGAAGCTTAAGAAACCAGCACCATTTGCCATGATCACACACACTAAGATTTTAGTATTTTTACTAGAATTGTAATATTATAAAATATTCATACAGGGAACCATGTATAAACTGTGTCTGTCTGTGCTGCTGGCACACTGAAATCTTTGTAACAAAATCATTATAAATATATTTTCACTTCCCTGTTTCAGGTATGCTTGACTATTACCTAATGCCTGAATCATGTAAAGGTAGAATGCTGCACTGCACTTCCAAATTTTGTTCCTTTGGTGATGTACCAGGTTCATTTGAGTACACCAGCAGCAAAAATGTTCTTGAAGGATGTGGACAGTGTTACAAGTTGTGCATTGTGGGTTTTGTAATGACACCCAGAACTTTTGGGGCTCGAGTGAAATTAGATGCAGAAGAACTTAAATTATGGGACCAAGAATCTGAATCCCAGTTATCAACGTCTCCAGGTGTCAGTTCAGGTGTTAGACATTTAGTTCACAGCAGCACGCATCAAAATCTGACAGTGATCAACAGTATGAGAGAGAGCCCATGGTACCCTCATTGTCATGCAACACTTGTAAGTTCAGAGGAGCTGGAGCAATCATTTCAACCCACAAAAGGCAAGGGTAGTCGGGCTCACATAACATTAGGATGTGCTGAAGGGATAGCAGCTGTCACCACGGGCTATGATCTCCTTGACGTGATAGAATGTGAAGAAACTCCTGATATAGCCAGCAGATGCAGGACATTTTCTTTGCCCAGAGGGTGGCTAAGAGATTATGGAAAGTCTCGTTGGGTATTGTATATGTGTCGAGAAATAACTGTTAGTTCACTTTTCACGGGTTATTATTAAAGCCATACTTACTTCTCCTGTTTTTGTACTATTCAATTATATTAGGATATTTTTATTCTGCAAGTGTGTGTTCTGTATAACTGAATGGAATTTGTAAGTTTACTTTCATCTTAGTGCTCATGTTGCTTTGAATCTTAGAATTAAGGTGCGGAAAGATAATGAGAATTTCTGCATAACTTGTCATAAATTTTTATTGTACTTGCAACAATTTTCCATGATAAAGGAATGAGGAATCATAGTTTAAAATGTTGTACTTATATGGTAATTTCCTCTTTCATACTGTTGCCACCTTTTCCCTGTATTAAATCATATTCAGGAAGCTGTTGCCAGAAGGTATTAATTAAAGCTATATTTTACAGAATCACGTTTTAACTTTTTGTAGTATTCTTCTCTTATGGACATACAAATTCTGTGGCATGATGGCTTAAAGCCAGTATAGTGGAACAAATAGATGCGGCCATTGTTAGGCAACGGCTTGGTAAACACATGTCAGTGGCTATGAATAAGCATGCAATAATATCTTCTGTGCATCTATGCCAAGGTTAGATAATGAGGGCCAACTGGACAAGCCAGTCAGTAGGAAGTTGGAGTCAGTGGTTAGGAATCTTGAGGTGCATCAACAAGAGCTGTCACCTAGCAATGACTAATGAACAGACAGAATTCTTTATGTATGCTGTAGTTGTAATGATTTAGAGTGTGTAAATCAGTGAGACTGTTTTAGTTTGTAGTAATGAGCTATAAGCATTCATCCAATCCAATTATCAATCCAAATCCTGTGTCTAGTCACTAACATGTGACACACACACACATATATATATATACTGAAATGTATTCCTTCACTAGACATATATTTCCTTTGCCTATGAATATCGGATGTTCCGCTCTATAGTCTAAGCATCTTACAAAAAAAAAAAATACAAAGATTACAGCAGATGCTGGAAATGCTCTGTCTTTTCAGCAGAATCTTCAAGCCTAGCACTGATTTCATCTAATCCTTCTTCTACTTTGCTCTAGGAAATGGTAGAACATCTACCAGTGAGCACTACATGTCAGCCGACACATAAACCCTGAGCCCTTTGTTATGTTAACTTCTGACCTATATGAAAAGCACTCATTCACCAATTCGTTTATTTCCTGCATTTAAATGTGTGAAATATGCATCAAAACAAGTGTTCATGTATGGCATCTATGAAGAAAATGATTCTGTAAGAAAAGTGGGAACATTTTTGTGTAAGTTTTAGGATATTACACTTCCAAATACAAATCGTATTCACAGAATCACGAAGAAATTAAGACAGCTAGACCTGTTACTCAGTGCACCCCCCCTCCCCCCACATGAATTTTCTTTAATGAAGAGATATTAAATTAAATCAGTGTTGTTCTTGAACATTCAATGTGAAATTCCTTCAGGTATCTTGCACATTAGTCTGGGATTTCAGGTTTTCTGTACTTATGAACAACTTCACTGTCAAAATACAAATTTTGCATTGCATTGTTCACTGGCTGTTGAAAAGATTCACAAACTTCTTGATCCTATCAGGTATAATGCCTTACGACTTTAGTCACACCATTACATACTGTGCATCATACACTTATTTGCATTTTCCCATTGTCAATTTTAATGCAAAAATTAATGATTATATTTTGTGTATACTTCCCCTCACTTCTACACAGTAGATCTCTCCATGTTTACCTTTCATTTCACATTTTTTTTTTTGTTGAAGTGGCACTTAGTAGGTAAACTTAGTACAGTCTACTAAATAACAAGCCTGTATTGATTTTCCAGTCATACACCATTTCACATTAATCTATTTAAAAAATCAGATATTGCCTCACTCACTGCCAGATGACAAGCTGGCAATGTTCTTTGAATTTACAAGCTTAACATCTCTCAGAATAAGAACTTTCATCATCCTCTAGGAATAAAGTACTACATTCTATGCATTCATAAACAGCCTGAACATCAATAATCTTCAAGTGACTTAAGTTCTGTTTTATTCTTAGTGCACTGAGTGTTGTTTCAGGTGAGTGCAATGAAAGGCAGAGAGAATTAAAGAAACCCAAGAAACTTGACCAGTCCTAGAGACTAAAAAAAAACAGATCAAATGTTATGAAACTATAGCTACCTCAATAGTATCATACAGCTCTGTAATGTGGGCACTAACAAATAACACAGCAACAAAAGAAAAACTGGAAAAATTAAATTTCTCAGAAATGTGGTAGGATATGCATTAAAAGATTAAATTAGAAGTAAACTAAATATATTCAGAAGAATGCTGTCTTCTCGGATGTGGCGCCATATAGATATTATGTGAACTGATGTTTTGAAAGAACATATTGCCTCCGTCTTAAGGGTAGAAAAATCTGCAAGTAAGGAACCACTGTGAGCAGGTGGCTAGCAGACTGGGCTATCAATTGAAAACACCCAGCTATATAAGAATAGAAGGAGTGAGAGTGGGCCATATGGGAAATCAATAGAGGAGAGGGGGTCAGTAGGGATCAGGTAGGAAGGCCAGGCAAGTGGGTAGAGGGAAGTTGTCAGGGGGTGGGGAAAAGCAAGCATTGACCCAGTAGCCTCAGTGCTAGAGCTACCGAGCAGGTATTGACTAGTGTAGCCTTGTAGATCTGGCATCATGTTCAAGTTTCTTGAGGGAGCAGATGAGAGGCTTCCATGACTTGCTGAGATAAAAACCAACCCCTCTGTTCATATTGTTGGGATGGAACCCACCTGATGATGCGATCCTTGTATCTTACATAAATATATTCAATTTAAACAGAATTCAGGACAACATAACTGTAACCATCATAATGACAAAATGTAAACAGAACAGTTTCTGAATCAGTTAATGGATTATACATGTGAAGAAAGAAGATTCATTGACATCCAAAGTTATGTTGGATCAGTCTGTTCAACACAGGAATGAAATGGATCAAAAGGTCCAAACCTTGATGCTGCTATGATGATCATAATCTCATGAATCAAAGTTGAGACCATGAAAGCTCTCCAGCAATAGGTTTAACAGCAGAAAATATCAGCATTATGTATAAATTTTGTTGTTTTACTGGTATGATGATAAATAAACAACAGGTAAAAGGTTCATGAAATTTGGGATGGTGGGATATAATAAATGTGTTTATGAGTTCAAACATTGCAAAGTGTTTTATTTTGCTTACTGATGACACACACCACTGAGACTGCTAACAACAGAATGGAAAATAATTAAGATATCTGTAGCTTACTGTTATAGATAGCACTTCAAAATTATTGCACATGAAATAATTTATGAATTAATCATGACACACTTTTAAAACTAGTTAATTGAAAGACAATAAATTTTAACAGCAGAATTAATTTCTATCTTTATTCTTATAAAACAATCAGTAGTGTTTTGACTTTCTATTGAATGGCTTGCTATTTTAATTGTTTATTCAGAATCCACAGATCTTTGTATAAATTTAAACAACTGAGACCACGATCCATATTTGAATCTTGCACCAAACTGTCATGTCCTCAGTGTTTCTAATAGTAAAAATAAAATGTTGAAGACTGCAGACATACTATTTACTTTCAGATCCTTCCTTAGTATATACATTACTACCGATTATTACTAATTTAATGGTGATTAAGAAAAGTATAGAAATATATACATATTATTTGTAATACAAGTGAAGATGGTTCTGTGCATATGATCTCAGTTTCAGAAGGTTGACATGTCACCAGCTGACAAAACGTTCATAGAGTACAACAAATCTAGATATCCTATAGGAAATTTTATGAAAGGCTTTTTCTTTAACAATCCAATTTATATTCTCAGAAATTTAGCAATTTCCTTACAAGGAAGAAATAAAAGAGACATCAGTTTCAGGATCTCTGTTCTGAACAGGTAGTAAGTGCTTAATGATGGTGCATGCAAAATGTTTTCATTTTATAAAATCCTGTCATAGATATTATTGGCAAGAAACTGATAAGAAGCTGGGATAAATGTGCACCAACTTCAATTATACAAAGAGCTGGAAATCAAATAATATAATATCAAGTGACGTTTAACACTTGACTATATAGGGTAAAAATGATCAAAATATAAAATTAATAGGAAAAGTTTCCTCTTGATGGAAGTTATTTTAATTATGGATGTGTTTGTCTAAAACTGTTAATTAAATCCTATGCTATAAATGTTCCTATCCCAAGGTTTGTGAGGGTGATTATGTCATATGAATTATGATATGATATGGCAGTTTTGAAAATGTACATTATCTCAGTGTAGGCAAATATCCATCTACTAATCACAGCCCCATGCTAGCTGCAAGCAAGACTGTATATTAAACATGAATGGTAAAAAAATACTGAGTAGCCTGTGCATATCAGCAGTAATCTAAACCAAAAATCTAAATTTGAGTGCATGACATGGTTTCTATGAAACATAATTCCTTAAAACATTATTTTATTATGATCTTAATTTCTTTGAATAAAAATGTTATGCTAAACATATAAACTTCTAAAATCTGTTACAAATGTACATATATACATATCATAAAAATTAAAATTTATATTCTATAGTATATTAATCACCTATCTCTGTTAACAATGCAGAAACCTGAAGATCAGCATGAATCTAAATCATAAATTTGAAATGACATCATCATTCAGACAGGACAGTTGCAGAGGAAGTATACACATTCAGGGAAATTGGCATGAAACAACCATAAACTAACTTTATCAGTTCCTGTGCAGTGCCTGGAAAGGGCAAACAATAATAGTCATACTAATGTTATAATACAGTATACTCATACTCGTATTTTAAATTTTGGTACTTGATAGAAGTTTACAAATTCCATCCACAGAAAGTTAAACTTGATTACAATTATCAACGTAAACATTATACAGTGTAAAATACTGCCACTTCCAGCACCATCATCAAAATTCCAAATTAAAGAAGAAATTATTAGTTTATATCACTTAATCTGTACAATTAGTCAGCACATGCAGACATTTGAACATTTTCAGTATTCAGTACACAAAGCATATTTCAGTTACTATGGATTAATTATAAAATGCTTGATTCTCATATTAACATCAGATCTTGCTCCATAACTTTAATTGCAATAACATACTATTTGTGAAATCTAGATTTTATATATGCTCATTTTATCGAGTACCACTCCATTTTATAATCAGTATAACTTAGGACAGGAAATAGAAAATGGATATGATCAGCATCATTCGGTGCCAATGTTTGC